GGGGGGTTCTTATGGGTTGTCCTGGGTCTGTGGGTTGGGTGACCCAGGCCTAGCGCTCACCCATCTGTCACCCACCCATTCGAGTGACCCAGGCCTAACATTGACCCACCCATCACCCACCCAGGCTCTCTCGCCTAGACCCACCCTCATCCCACCCATGCCAACTTACCAAGACCCACACCTGACCCGATGCCTCGTGGGTGGGGTGCGTGTGGGTCTGGGTACATCTTGCTCATTTCTGAACGAGGGGGAGGAAAACAGGCAGGAAGAGTGGTAGGCAGAGAGGAAGAACAGGCAAGCAGACGGGAGAGGAAGAGGGAAGAAGAGAAGGGAGGAGCACAGTTGGAGGAGGAAGGGGGATGAAGAGGGAAGAGAAACAGACCAAAAGGAAGAGGGGGGGAGAAAGACGGGGGAGAGGGGGGAAGAAGACGGGGGAGGAAGAGGTGCGAGGACGAGGGGGGAAGGAAGAGGGCGGAGGAAGAGGGGCAAGGGTGGGGAGAGGAATAGAGGAGAGAAGGAGGGGGGAGGAAAAAGGGGGAGGAAGGAGGGGAAGAAAAAGGGGGTAAGGAAAGGGGAGAGGAGCAGGGGGGAGGAAGACTGGGGACGAAGAGGGGAAGGGAGAACAAGGACTGGACGAGGGGGAGGAAGAGGAGGTGGGTTTACAGGAGGGAGGGGGAAGATGAAAGTGGGAGAAAGAGGTAGGTCTGGAATAGGAAGGGGAGGAGGGAAGCAGGGGTACGAATTGCAAGAAGTGGAGGATGAAGAGGACTGCAGCATAATAGAGATTATCAAACGGAGGAAGAAGAAGAGAAGCAAGAGAAGTAGAGGTTTGTGCAGTAATGAAGGGAACATGAATCATACATGGAATGATGTCCTTGCTTTCCAGCTCTTTCCTTGAGAACTTTCGCAGAACATACCCTTCTGAATTGCATAAGATGGGAGCATCACCACCTTTCCGCGCAGCACCCTGCAAAAAAGGGAAATAAAAAAACGAAAAGGCGAATTATTGGCAAAAAGTTTAAAAGAACGCGGTGCTGTGAAAATTGGAGTCGTCAAATTTGGTATCCATCACCGGCCATAAGGCCCATAAGTAGAATACAAGGGCTGCCATTTTTGTTTTTCAACTTCTTTACCTTTTTCACACGGGGATCTTTTTCTTAAAACGATGCAAAGAGCAGGCAGGCGGGCCGCCTGGGTCACAAGATTATGACGGACGGCCAGGGCGAGACAGCACCAGGGCACGTCCCAGGAAAACCAGATCCAAAAAAAAAAAAAAAAAAGTCCCAAAAAAAACTGTGTTATGCAGAAAAATAAACTGAACAACTTTTGCCTCAGGTTCACATCGAAATTCTTTACCATATTTAAAATAAGAAATAAATTTCAAAAAGTTTTTTTTGTTGTTTTTTTTTTTGGCCCGGCCAGGCAAGTGGCCCCGGGCCACTCTGGTAGCCCCTTTTTTTCTTTTTTTTTTCCTATTTTTCACGTTTTTTCCTCTTTTTCTTTTTTCTTTTTCTTTTTTCTTTTTTTTCTTTTGTTCTCTCGTTTTTCCTTTTTTTTCTTTGTAAAAAGTACTAAAAAGTTAGTAAAAACCTAGGAAGATTTTCATGCTTGGCCGGGCACCCAGGCGTCATGCCCGGGGTACTCGGGCGTGCCAAAAAAAAAGTCAAGAAACTTTTTTGTTTTTTTGTCCGGTTTTCTGCGCTCTCCCAGAGGACACCAAATCCGGGCTCATTTCTTTTTTTGCGAGTTGGCTTTCAAATAAATTGTTTTTAAAGGGGCTATAAAGGGGGGTGCCTTAGTGTGACTCTGTTATTTTCTTTTTCATCTCCGATTCCGTGAGGAATTCTAATGTGACCCTCAGCCAAAAGTCATTTGTATTGCAATTCTACACAACATAATTTTTTTCCAGAATTTTTCGGGTTCATGCCCGCCCGGGCACCCGGGCGTGTACCCAGGCATATGTTGGGTGCCCAGGCGCCCGGAAAAACAGCCTAGCTAAAAACATGTCTTTCAATTACCATGCCTTACAAGCTATCGGACAGTCTTCAAAATCCCAAGACTATGATTGTATCCGGGCTATCTCCAATGTATACAAGCTATCTTTCAGGTCCAATACAGTCATGATGAGGATTGCATGGCATTCTCCTACACAGAGCTTTTAGTGCACTTTGATGAGGGTGTGCTCTGTCCTTGAATGTAGACAAGCTATCTTTCATGTGTTCTCTCTCTCTCTCTCTCTCTCTCTCTCTCTCTCTCTCTCTCTCTCTCTCTCTCTCTCTCTCTCTCTCTCTCTCTCTCTTCTCACAAGAAAACTGTGCCTGTGAGTCCACACAAGGGCCAGTCGCACGCAGCCCAGCACACTACATTTGTGAGTGTGATGCGTGTGCATCACCCATCCATGCACCATGCCGTGCGCACGTCACCGAACCGTTCACGGCAAGCCTGGTTTGTACCATGCCGGACAAGTAAGGGGGGGCCGGGGGGGGGGAGTGGTATTTAACTTCATTCAATTTTATTTAGGTTTATTATGATTATCGTTCAGAAAAGCAGAGGGGCAAAAGGGGGAAAGCAAAAAAAATGACCACACCTTGCTCTTGACTGCGGCTTCAACAAGAATCGGGAAAGGAACGTATTGCTTCAGAAGAATCCGTCGGAGTCGAGACAGATATGGCTGCGGATTAGATCCAGAGACTTGTTGAACGCCCACCACCTGCAAGTTAGGCACCCTGGAATGAAAGGAACCAAAAAACAAAAAAAACAAGTAAAACAGACTATGGTTTGTAAAGGAAAAAACAATGGAATTAAATAAATTTAAATAAATTTAAATAAATCATTGAATGTTCTTTTTTTCGGTTTTTTAAACTTTTTTATTTTTATTTTTAAAGGCTAAATTCTTTTAACCCCAACCAATTCCATTACCTGTCGAATCGGGACAGGACATGGCCTTTCAGGCCTCATCATTATAGTATTACGGGAAACCCCATAGCAGCCCCATAGCAGCCACACCCACGTTCATGCCTCCCATGAGGGAACATGTGGGGGCTGCACCCCACAGCAGGGGGGCGATACCGGCCAGGGGTCAGCCGGTATCATTCAGAGACCATGCCATCTGGGCCAAGCTCTGTGCCTCCCCCCCCCCCCTTCCGGTCCCCTCCCCCTACAAATACCAGCCGTCTCTACGTCATGCCGATTGGGAGGGGGAGCGAAGGCAACAGCCTACCTCTCTGTCACGCACACCAAGTCTGCTCAGGAAGGTACATGAGGCTCGTGGGCATTGAACCCATGACCTCCTGAATGCCACTTGTGTGCAGCCGCTGGTTGTTGTTTTTTTCCAGAAGCAGGAAAACAAAATCCACAAAAAAAAGGCGACGAAAAACGAAAAGCAAACTCGAGAAAGTGCATGACTGTGCATCACTCCCATCTCATGAGCCTCATCAAACCATCTCCCCCCCTTCCCCAGAGAAGTAGACTTCCCAGATTTATACGAAGTCAGATAAGAACTCGAAATAAGACTTTTCTTCTTTTTTCTTTAAAAAAAATTAAAAAAAAACGGCCCCTCCAAGTCAGATAAGAACTCGAAATAAGACTTGAGTTCTATCAAGACAAAATTTAAATAACTACCAAATGTTCATGAACCAAAAAGATTTGAACTTTTTTTTTTAATAATTACCAACATCAATATGTCGAGACACTAAAAAAAAAAAAAAAAAAAAAGTTGAGACACACCGTATGCAAATGACAGCTATTATCACTTTGCAACACACTGGGGACACTCCCTCTCTCCTCCA